AGGGGTCTGAAATTATTGACACCCTTGATAAAGATGACGAGCACTAATGACTGTATAAAATAAATAATTCAAATACTGAGCTATATTTTATGTTGAAAAAAAAGGGGTAAATTATATTATTTTATAGTAATACAATTGCTCAGAGAAAGAGATTTTGTTTAACAAGTAATACTTTTTTTCTCAAAAAGGTAGAAATTATTGACACCCCTAAAGATTCTTATAAATAAAGTAGTCAAAAGTTTAGTATTTGGTCCCATATTCCTAGCACGCATTGACTACATCAAGCTTGTGACTACAAACTTCCTGGATGCATTTGCAGTTAGTTTTGGTTGTGTTTCGAATTACGTTTTGCCCAATAGGAACTGAATAATGAATTGCGTCATTTTGGAGTCACTTTTATTATAAATAAGAATAGAATATGTTTCTAAACATTTCTACATTAATGTGGATGCTCATAGCAGTGGCAAGTAGGGGGGAAAAAATCATATAATATACACTACCAGGCAAAGGTTTGGACACACCTACTCATTCAAGGGTTTTTCTTTATTTTTACATTGTAGAATAATAGTGAAGACATCAAAACTATGAAATAACACATATGGATTCTTCAAATAGTCACCCTTTGCCTTGATGACAGCTTTGCACACTCTTGGCATTCTCTCAACCAGCTTCACCTGGAATGCTTTTCCAACAGTCTTGAAGGAGTTCCCACATATGCTGAGCACTTGTTGGCTGCTTTTCCTTCACTCTGTGGTCCGACTCATCCCAAACCATCCTAATTGGGTTGTCGGGGGATTGTAGAGGCCAGGTCATCTGATGCAGCACTCCATCACTCTCCTAATGTCCATTGCTCGTGTTTCTTGGCCCAAGCAGGTCTCTTCTTTTTATTGGTGTCCTTTAGCAGTGGTTTCTTTGCAGCAATTCGACCATGAAGGCCTGATTCACACAGTCCCCTCTGAACAGTTGTTACTTGAACTCTGTGAAGCATTTATTTGGGCTGCAATTTCTGAGGCTGGTAACTCTAATGAACTTATCCTCTGCAGCAGAGTTAACTCTGGGTCTTTCACTCCTGTCGCGGTCCTCATGAGAGCCAGTTTCATCATAGCGCTTGATGGTTTTTGCGACTGCACTTGAAGAAACTTTCAAAGTTCTTGACATTTTCTGGATTGACTGACCTTCATGTCTTCAAGTAATGATGGACTGTCGTTTCTCTTTGCTTATTTGAGCTGTTCTTGCCATAATATGGACTTAGCCCTATTTGGTAAAAGACCATCTTCTGTATACCTCCCCTACATTGTCACAATACAACTGATTGGCTAAAACGCATTACGAAGGAAAGAAATTCCACAAATTAACTTTTAGGAAGGCACACCCGTTAATTGAAATGCATTCCAAGTGACTACCTCATGAATCTGGTTGAGAGAATGCCAAGCGTGTGCAAAGGTGTCTTCAAGGCAAAGGGTAGCTATTTGAAGAATCTCAAATATATAATATATTTAGATTTGTTTAACACTTTTTTCGTTACTACATGATTCCATATGTGTTATTTCATTGTTTTGATGTCTTCACTATTATTATACAATGTAGAAAATAGTAAAAATGAAGAAAAACCCTGGAATGAGTAGGTGTGTCTAAACTTTTGACTGGTACTGTATATAAAAATATATATCTATCTATATAAAAATCTAATCAAATTTAATTCGCCACATGTGCCGAATTCAACAGGTGAAATACTTACTTAGAAGCCTGTAACCAACAATGCAGTTTTAAGAAAAAAACTGCAAATGCAAATAGTCCGGGTAGCCATGATTAGCTGTTCAGGAGTCTTATGGCTTGGGGGTAGAAGCTGTTAAGAAGCCTTTTGGACCTAGACTTGGCGCTCCGGTACCGCTTACCTTGCGGTAGGAGAGAGAACAGTCTATGACTAGGGTGGCTGGAGTCTTTGACAATTTTTAGGGCCTTCCTCTGACACCGCCTGGTATAGAGGTCCTGGATGTCAGGAAGCTTGGCCCCAGTGATGTACTGGGCCATACGCACTACCCTCTGTAGTGCCTTGCGGTCGGAGGCCGAGCAGTTGCCAAACCAGGCGGTGATGCAACCAGTCAGGATGCTCTCGATGGAGCAGCTGTAGAAATTTTTGAGGATCTGAGGATCCATGCCAAATCTTTTCAGTCTCCGGGGGGGGGGGGAATAGGCTTTGTCGTGCCCTCTTCACGACTGTCTTGGTGTGTTTGGACCATGATAGTTTGTTGGTGATGTGGACACCAAGGAACTTGACGCTCTTAACCTGTTCCACTACAGCCCCGTCGATGGGAATGGGGCGTGCTCAGTCCTCTTTTTTTTCCTGTAGTCCACAATCATCTCCTTTGTCTTCATCACGTTGAGGGAGAGGTGTTTATCCTGGCACCACACGGCCAGGTCTCTGACCTCCTCCCTATAGGCTGTCTCATCGTTGTCGGTGATCAGGCCTACCGCTGTTGTGTCGTCAGCAAACTTAATGATGGTGTTGGAGTCGTGCCTGGCCATGCAGTCATGGATGAACAGGGAGTACAGGACTGGCAAAAAAGTAGTTGTATAATTAATAACAGTATCTTGTAGGATTCAATAGTTGGAATTGTAAGAGTTTTTGCCCTGTCCCCTTTCTCTGCAAGAAAAAAAACTTGTCCTCTAACATTTACATCAAAGGGTGCAAAGTTATGGGCAAAGACACAAAACAGCCATCAATTTAAATATTTTTCTTGATCAAATAACATGGAAAACAACCCCTTTTTGTGCAATATTAATTTAACATCCTTACAAACCAATTAATGTAAATGTACTGTACATTACTGTATAGTCAACACAATCTCACACTCAATTCGTGAAAATATGTACAAAAGGTATATCAGCAGATTGTTGCGATTTTGTGTGGCTTAATTTGTGTGACTTATTTAGTAGGAAAATAAATTTTGGGGGGCAAACTTCGGAACAATCTTTCTAAAGTTATTAGAGCAATGCATAATATGCAATGGTGTTCTACATTATTTTTTTTGTGTGTCCCACATTTATCTATATAAAAAACAAACATGTTAACAACCCAATATTGTTAATCAACCAGCTTGTCACCAAAATAATTAGAATATAATAGTAGCCTTATGCCAATACTGTTTTCTATGCTTGTTTTCACTTAATACTTTGGGATACTGGTGCACTTGTAGTCAGAAAGGCCCTTTTTTCGTGTAGGCAACAGTAGACCTACACCATTTTCTTCATAATGGACATAAATGGACACTACCTGTTATGCAACAGATATTGCTCTCCGTAAATAAATGGTGAGAAATGCTCAGTCTGAAGCCATTCGGCTATGGGTTTCACAGCCCTATAATAATGATACAAGTTATATCACCTTAAAAAAGGGTTTATTTACAACCTCTGGGGTATAACATGTTGGCCAAAGTGGTGTAGGAGAGTCTGACATATAACCCCTAACTTGAGTTCAGTCTTCGCCAATAAGAACCAAGAGTGGCCTAGCTTCGTCCTTCATTACTGGGAAAGGCCTCGATTCTAGGCCGTAGAAAATCCTACATCCAGCTCATTAGATCAGAACAGGATGGATCAACAGTGAATCATATTACTGGTTTGCATCCTAAAAAAAAAGGATAGTTGTGTTTTGCTGCATAACACACTTAAATTATTTGTCTACCCATATGATGTCGATCATTGTCAGGTTATTTGATATATAAGCTTCAGTAACAAAAGAACATCATGGTTGTAATAACACTTCAAACAGGTAGTTATAAATGTGTAGAATGTGTTTTTTGGGTCCACACTGGTAAGTTAACTTATTTAAATTAGACAGTCACAGAGGATTTTCTTCTGAATAACTGCTCAGGGCGTAGCACTTTCCATTCATCTTCAGGCAACTTTGATGTAAGGCTTGATCACACCTGTAGTGACTACTTCTATCCGCCACGCCCATTGTTCCTTAGCCATTGTTCACTAGATATATCAATGTAATTACCCCCAAAACAATTTTGAAAAACAGAATGCCTCCCACAACTAGATCACATAACTAGACGTGAGCTGGACTTGATCCCAACGCTGCCACCAGTGTAGTGGAAGAAAGTGAAAGCTGCAACAGGGACTCTAACCAGGGCTCATATGTGGAAAAAGTCAAGGGGTCTGAATACTTTCCGTCTTCAGCAATTCTTCTTTTCTGCATCCCTCTTTTCTACAAAGTATTGACTCAGGGGTGTGAATACTTATGTAAATGAGATATTTCCATTTTTTATTTTCAATATTTATTTATATTCAAAATGTTTTCACTTTGTAATGATGGGGTATTGTGTGTAGATGGGTGAGAATAAAATATATTTAATCCATTTTGAATCCAGGCTGTAACGCAACTAAATGTGGAATAAGTCTAGGGGTATGAATACTTTCTGAAGCCACTGTATGTCTAATTAAATATGAAATGCAACATAATTCCAACCACCCAATATACTTTATATTGAATATAGGATGAAAAAGATTTATGTTTCTACATGGAATTTACCGCAGTGTAAAGTATACTTAGTTCTGATGATTATGTTGAAATTATCCTGTTAGTTAGGTTATGTCAATGTATTTAAGTTGACGTTTTATTCTAATTTCAATGTTTACAACGCTGGTTGAAATTTGATAAACAGTACTGGTTGATTTTTTTTTCTTTAATCCAATGTATTTTCCACATTGATTCCACGTCACAATGCGTTGACAAATTACATTGAAACAACGTTGATTCAACCAGTGTGTGCACTTATTATGACCAATTTTCTATTGAGATGCTTTGTGGATACAGGCCCAGGTCTCTCTTTGGTGGTTGGAGGGAACTTAGAGTGACTCCAAGATCAAAGTTTGTCATATGTGGTCTAATTTAAATGTTGACATACCACACCATCTGAAAGAAAATTAAATAAGACTGTGCCGATCTTTTCTATTCATAAGGGATGCTGAAAGCACCTCCATGGTTTCCATCCCCACTAATGATCCCAGGCCTGACACACTCCCATTGGGCTGGTGGGCTCCTCAACATGAAGCCCCTTTTTGTTCATCACATTGCCAATCCCTATTCTTCCAGTCCCCCCACCCTCAACATGGACCGCGTTGCTTCCCACCTTAGAATTATTCTTCAACTCCAGCTCAAGGAGAACAGAGTCTGCCACATTACCGTCAGTGTATACTTTGTTCCTTGCCCCAAACAAGAGAGGATTGGGGTTGCTTGTGGGATCCCTCAGTCCGCCTCCACCCAACCCACCATTACCCCCACCTCCTGCCCTACCTTCCCTGGTTCCCCTTCCCGTTACCTCACCCCTATTCCCGGGGGGACAGCAGGAGTTGGTCTGGCAGACGGCCTGGAAGCCCCTCTTGAAGTTCTCGTTGAAGTATCCGTAGATGATGGGGTTGACAGAGGAGTTGGAAAACGCTAGCCAGTGAGCGAAAGGAAAGATGTATCCGGTGAGGAGCTCCAACTGTTCCTCTTCCAGCCCACCGTAGTCTGTCAGCAGCATCAGAGTCCACAGCGGCAGCCAGGACAGCATGAACAGCAGGGCCACCACGATCAGCATCTTGATCACCTTGATTTTCTTCTGGGAGATCAGCGGCCTGCCCCCCTCATGCCTGGCTGGGGGAGGAGGAGGTGCTGCATCCTGAGGCTCTCTGCTTGACACCACAGAGGTGTAGAGCTTCACCCCGATGCGCCCGTACATGATGGTGATGAGAGCCAGGGGCACCAAGTAGATGTGGGCGAACAGAACCATGGTGTAGACCTTCCTCATCTTCGGGTCAGCAAAGTTCTCATAGCAGGAGTACAGGGGGTAGGTCATGTTGTAGTTCTGGTTGTAAACCATGTAGTGATCGGCCACCTCCTTCACGGTCAGGGCAGCTGCTGACGGACACATGATTACCACAGCCAGAATCCAGATCATCGCTATGGTCGCCTTGGCAACTAGCAGGGTGAGTTTGGGATGAAAAGGGTACACAATGCAGCAGAACCTGTGGATATTGGAAATAGAGAGAGTAAAAGGAAGAATGCTTGCTGTTTTTTTTTGTTGCCAAGGCACTATACAAATGTGGTCAAATATATTGGCACCCCTTGCACTTGGACTGCAATGTCCTGTTTTTTTATTTTCAAAACTGGTTGAATGGCTATTTCTAACCTGTAGGGCACCTGCAATCACAGGTGAGATAAATTACCACAGGTGAGATAAATTACACAGTAAAAATAATCATTGTCTCCAACCAAATTCCCTCCCCAGCCTCACTGTAGAGCTCCATCATACTAACCTGTCGACTGCGATGGCCACCAGGGTGAAGACTGAGGCAGCTACAGACATCCCCTGCACCAGACCACTCAGTTTACACACAGTGTTGGTAAACGGCCAGCCTGTTGACAAAATCAATGACAATTACAAACAACAACAAAGAGACAGCAGCCATAGAGAGTTCAACTTACTTGGTAAAATAAGGTTAAATTAAAAGATATAGACCCAGCCACAATTTCCTAGGCCTTGTACACAGTTGTGTCAAATGCGCTGTACATTAGTTGTACACCCTGAGTGTGTACAGTACTAGGCTATGTAAAGCACAGTGGTTAAGACACGTGTGTTGTGTGGTTAGATTCTACACAAATGGGAGTATAGACTTGGCCCTTCTTCACTGAAGATCTGTGTTCAGTGAAATGAATCAATTAGCTTAATGAATGATCTGCCATATGACCTGGCTTAAACGTCAATAGAGGATAGCATTATTTGGCATCCAGTCTGAATTTCTGCAGACCAGGGAAACATTGTAACTGAAGTTTTAGAAACTGCATTAATAGTATTGTATTAGTTATTATTCTGTTATCTCCTTTTCAAATGATAATAGGTCATTGCATAAATAGATTTTGCCTTGTGCAAAATGTTCTCACAAACTCAAGACCAGGCTGTTGTGTCATATGCACCAAAAGGTTGATGGCACAATATACACATTTACATAGACACAATCATCACTCAACCCACAGATGGTGATATAAATACTGGTTAAACATATATTCTGTTTGTTTTGAAGGACTTGATGAATAAGACATAAGATGGTAATGAAGACCAATTCAAATGGGTCTGTAGAATGGGGAATCATAACATGTATAATTTTCTATGTTGGCTGTAATTTGCTATCATGAAGTTATACAACTATCGATTAGCCAGTTATACTACTAGTCTGTAAATTAGCAATTTACATGCCCCCATTTTCCATCAGTAGAATGTGCATAATGACAGTCTGAAATGAACATGATGAAATATGCATTAAATAAAACTCAAACAGCTCTAAGATTTCTAAGTTATGTTAGAACAAAGCTCATCACACCAAGCTCAGCAGGGTATAGGCACAATTTATATCCCGTTGCCTAGATAACAAGAGGTTATGTACAAGAGGTTATGTACAAGAGGATGGGTACAAGAGGATGTGTACAACCATTCTTATAGGGATAGTTTCTTGACAGAGAATGTAGAGAATCAGGATCTGATCTTTGTCCTCGAGGTGCTACTCTTACCCATCATTAATATGAATTAAATCTCATTATGACTCTCTACATTGAGTCGAAGGAAAAGGGGAGTTTCGTGCTCAAACAACTGGAGTAGTGGCACTACTCTGTCTGATGAAGGTCGCTGACCGAAATGTCACGTTATGTTTCTAACTTTAGATAAATTAATCATATATTTTTGGCAGCACCACTTTAACTGGGGACGGTTGTTTGCATGGAAATGTTTTGTAGCCTTCGTTTTGTCCCGTTTCAACAGAAGTAAATGAACTTGGCTAGCTTTCGCCAGCTGATGTACCGTTAGAGAGAGAGCTGGCCAAAAGTTGGCTAACTTTAGCTATTATTTTTGCCTCAATCACAGTAGATCTTAATCAAACGATGAAACCATCAGCCAAACGATTGATATTCTGAAAAAATTTTCAGTGCAATGTGAGTTTTTATTAGTCTTTATGGCAATATAACATTATTGATCAGTCAGTACCCTACTTTTCACACTGACACAGTAATAAACAGCTCTAATGTTACAGGCTTTACGGTCATGATGCAGCTTTTCATATCGCACTACGCTCACACCCGCTGGCTTTCTGTCTGACTCCCTGGTCCCAAACCCAACCGCAGTCCTGCAATGTTATTTTAGGCGGATGTGATGCAGCTCCCTTGCCAGCAATGGTCCCAGCATTTTTGCGCCCTATAGGCAATATAAAAAAATAACTGAAGAAATAGTTTAAATTACCAGAGATTCTCACATTGCCCTTTTATAAGGTTATATGTATTACTGGGCTATATCAGCCAATGTAGCGAGATGTAGTTTGAAGAGAGCAGAGTAGGAGAGACTATTTTTATAAACTGCCTTTTAGGAGTGGGAAGATTTTCAGACTGAGAAATATGGGTGATCAATATTTAGGCCTATTTCTAGGCAATGTAGTAAAGTATTTAGGAAGTACATTTCCTTCGAAATATAACTGCCCCGTGCTTCTCCGCCCATGCATAGGCTATAGCCTACTCTATTTATTTGAGACCACACGCGCACCTGATCTCGCAGGTATGGCTACTGAACTTGAAGCAGCAAGAATGATGACAGCGACACTTGCTACGTTTTGCATAGGCCTATAGGATATAGCCTACCTTTTAGGAGGATGATTTGCAGGCAGAGACAAATAAATGGAAAAATCTATATTTATTGAAAATGAAAAGGAGCAACACTCGCTCACCATAGTAGCCTAACCTATGTGCGCGTTGTGCCTTTTCCTTTTCAATGATTACATTTTTTGATTGCACTTTGACTCACGTTGGTTAAGCGTCCTCCACTTCTTTCCATGATCAATAGCCTATTTATTTAGAGACACTGTAGTAAACTACAGTCAAGGTCAAAAGTCTGCTGCCTCAGTTTTTATGATGGCAATTTGCATATACTCCAGAATGTTATGAAGAGTGATCAGATGAATTGCAATTAATTGCAAAGTCCCTCTTTGCCATGAAAATGAACTTAATACTAAGAAAACATTTCCACTGCATTTCAGCCCTGCCACAAAAGGACCAGCTGACATCATGTCAGTGATTCTCTCATTAACACAGGTGAGAGTGTTGACGAGGACAAGGCTGGAGATCACTCTGTCATGCTGATTGAGTTAGAATAACAGACTGGAAGCTTTAAAAGGAGGGTGGAGCTTGAAATCATTGTTCTTCCTCTGTTAACCATGGTTACCTGCAAGGCAACACGTGCCGTTATCATTGCTTTGCACAAAAAGGGCACAGGCAAGGATATTGCTGCTAGTAAGATTGCACCTAAATCAACCATTTATCAGATCATCAAGAACATCAAGGAGAGAGGTTCAATTGTTGTGAAGAAGGCTTCAGGGTGCCCAAGAAAGTCCAGCAAGCGCCAGGACCGTCTCCTAAAGTTGATTCAGCTGCGGGATTGGGGCAACACCAGTGCAGAGCTTGCTCAGGAATGGCAGCAGGCAGGTGTGAGTGCATCTGCACGCACAGTGAGGTGAAGACTTTTGGAGGATGGCCTGGTGTCAAGAAGGGCAGCGAGGAAGCCACTTCTCTCCAGGAAAAACATCAGGGACAGACTGATATTCTGCAAAAGGTACAGGGATTGGACTGCAGAGGACTGGGGTAAAGTCATTTTCTCTGATGAATCCCCTTTCCGATTGTTTGGGGCATCCGGAAAAAAGCTTGTCCGGAGAAGACAAGGTGAGCGCTACCATCAGTCTTGTGTCATGCCAACAGTAAAGCATCCTGAGACCACTCATGTGTGGGGTTGCTTCTCAGCCAAGGGAGTGGGCTCACTCACAATTTTGCCTAAGAACACAGCCATGAATAAAGAATGGTACCAACACCTCCTCCGAGAGCAACTTCTCCCAACCATCCAAGAACAGTTTGGTGACGAACAATGCCTTTTCCAGCATGATGGAGCACCTTGCCATAAGGCAAAAGTGATAACTAAGTGGCTCGGGGAACAAAACATCTACATTTTGGGTCCATGGCCAGGAAACTCCCCAGACCTTAATCCCATTGAGAACTTGTGGTCAATCCTCAAGAGGCGGGTGGACGAACAAAAACCCACAGATTCTGACAAACTCCAAGCATTGATTATGCAAGAATGGGCTGCCATCAGGCAGGATGTGGCCCAGAACTTAATTGACAGCATGCCAGGGCAGATTGCAGAGGTCTTAAAAAAGAAGGGTCAACACTGCAAATATTGACTCTTTGCAAAACTTAATGTAATTGTCAATAAAAGCCTTTGAGACTTATGGAATGCTTGTAATTATACTTCAGTATACCATAGTAACATCTGACAAAAATATCTAAAAACACTGAAGCAGCAAACTTTGTGAAGACCAATACTTGTGTCATTCTCAAAACTTTTGACCACGACTGTATAGTCTAATCATATCTAAGTTAAATTTCATATTTAAGTTAACTGCCACGTGATTCTCCGCCCATGTATGCAGCCTACCCTATTTCAATGAGACCACACATACTAGCGGCACTTGAACTCTCATGCCCAACTAGGAGAGGTAGGCTACTGAAGTTGAAGCAGCGAATTCTGAGTGTGTGAATAATGCGAAAAATATGTGTTTTTAATACAATAGGTAGGGTAACGCATACAAAGCAGAAAGAGGCCAGTTTCCAAATAATCTGTGGGACAACAAAAATATTTGAATCCCAAAGTCGTCTGTCTCACAGCATGACAATTCCGACTGGGCCGCAATGATCTGTGTCGGGACCCGCAGGTCCCGCAGGCATCCCATGGGAATGCAGCCCTCTAGTGCACAGTCACTACTCAACACTGCTCATCATGTCTTAGCAGGATCAGGTGGTGACAGGGGTCCCAGCAGGGTCAGCCAGCCAGGGAAGACCAGTCTACGGAGCTCAGGTGAATTTTGTAATATATTAATAATATCAGTGAATGATACAAAGTTCCATCTTGAATTGATGGGTAGACCTACAGTAGCTACAGGACAGCAGCTTAAGCTTAAAGCTACAGTCTGGGATCTGGGAATAATGTTCATTTCAATTATTGAACCATTCATTCTATTGTTGGATAATATAATGTACATCAAGGTAATTATTTGTCATGCCTCATCTTAGGAGGATCAGATGGTCACAGGGGTCTCAGCAGGGTCAGGCAGACAGGGAAGACCAGTCTGTGATGGAGCTGACGTGAATTTTTGCAGATACAACACTTTATTCTCTCTGTGCAGCAAACACTGGACAAGCCAGATGCTCTTTTAAGGCAGTCTGACAAACCTCCAAAGTTAATTTCCAAACTGTATCAAGGGTTGATAAAAATGTGAGGAAGACCTGGTAGAAGCTGTTGATGATGATAAATTGATACAGATATGTTTGAATTCCCAGTCATGTTCATATAATCTCAGACACAAATTACTGCAGTTTAAGACCATCCATAGAATGTACTATATGCCAGTGAAACTGAATTACATGCACTCAGAAAAGTAATTCCTCTGATGGAGGTGTAAAACACAAAAGGGGACATATTTGCATATGTTGTGATCTTGTGAAGGCTGGCTGAATTCTGGCAAAGAGTATGTTATTTTATCTCAGCATGTCTACAGATTCTCCCTGTTTTTGTTTGCTTGGAAACGTTGATACTGGAGACTGTTATCTGAAGAAACCGTGTAACCAAGCATTTATAGTGGCTAAGAATTGCATTGCCATTGATTGGAAGGTTGGTTATCCTCCAACAATGTCAAGTTATGTATCACTAGATTTGATTTATTACAAGATTAAGGGTATACTGGGCAACTTTCATAAGGTCTGGATGCCTTATATGGAATACTGTACGACAAAAGGAGTTTGCATTGAAAACATGCCCACGTCAGGGGAGACACCTATTTAGGCAATCCCTAGCTGCTGTGCTGCTCAGTCCTGGCCGTGTGAGTCTGCCATCCTGTGGGTTGTCACTCTGGCCTTGGCCTAACACACCCAACCAATAAATGAATGTTTCACTAAGATCCTAAAGCTGAGTGGGATGTGTTAGGTTGGGGCGCTGCAGGGTGGTGGACCCCTATGGACAGGATGGGGCGACCCAGTTATATTGTGTGCAAGTAAAAAGAGCTCTACACAGTGGTGTAAAGTACTTAAGTAAAATACTTTAAAGTACTACTTAAGTCATGTTTTGGGGTATCTGTACTTTACTACTTATATTTTTGACAACTTTTACTCCACTACATTCCTAGAGAAAATAATATACTTCTTACTCCATACATTTTCCCTGACACCAAAAAGTACTCGTTACATTTCAAATGCTCAGGCAGGACAGCAATATGGTCCAATTCACGCACCTATCAATATAACGCATTGTCATCCCTATTGCTTCTGATCTGGCGGACTCACTAAACACATATACTGTGTTTGTAAATGATGTCTAAGTGTTGGAGTGTGCCCCTGGCTGACCATAAATTTTAAAAAACAAGAAAATCGTGCTGTCTGGTTTGTATAATATAAGGAATTTTATGTATAGTATTTACTTTTACTCAAGTATGACAATTCAGTACTTTTGCCACCACTGTACTTAAGTACATTTAAAACCAGATACTTTTAGACTTTTACTCAAGTAGTATTTTACTGGGTGACTTTCACTTTTACTTGAGTAAATTTCCTATTAAAGATATCATTACTTTTACTCAAGTATGAAAACGGAGTACTTTTTCCACCGCTGGCTCTACAGTACTATTAGGCCTATGAGATTAAATACATGGAGGATTTGCTGTTTCTGTGTGTTAATGTATATTTGACTTGGTCTTGACTAAATAGGGCTATCTTCTGTATACCAACCCTACCTTGTCACAACACAACTGATTGGCTCAAACGCATTAAGAAGGAAATCAATGTTTCTTTCCCTTGGGAATGACATTTTTTTTTTAAAGGTGGGAACTGGAAAGGAAATTGTGTTGGGAGAGAGTTTAGTTATTGACTTGTGGGGGTCGGGCGTGCAGATGGCAGGGGCTGGTTGGTCGGTCTGGCTGAAATTTGATATAGACGATGTCTTAATAAAGACAATCAAAAGTCTGTATTTTTTCAAGAGTTGTTCATTTGATAGGCTATTGGTTAAAGGTGCAACACAATATTTATTATTTAATTACCTTTGATCTAGTTAAGTCTTATTAACCACTTAAACATATTTAATAATGATATCTTACCTACAGTAGCTTGATGACTGTGGGCATTTTTGCTTACTTTTTGTTCTAAATAGAGACGGCATATTGGATTGTGTAAAAATGCAGGAAATGAGCTTTAGATGCCCCAAAAAATGTGGGAGGACCCCCAGACCCCCCGCCAGGTATGTCCACCCCACTTCTAAAACCAAAGTGGCGCCCCTGTATTTTTATAATGGAGATTGTCACACCTGAAATTCTGATGCATTCTATATTTCCTTTACATTAAATGTGTTACATGAAAATGGTACAATGTCTAATATGATTAGTGTACAGTACATCTCTAATATGATTAGTGTACAGCACATCTCTAATATGATTAGTGTACAGTACATCTCTAATATGATTAGTGTACAGTACATCTCTAATATGATTAGTGTACAGTACATCTCTAATATGATTAGTGTACAGTACATCTCTAATATGATTTCACAGTTGTGCAGCACAAGGCTATAGTGTGAATGATATATAATGATGTGGCATTAACTATGCATATACATTTTAATATGAAGACAAATGAATTAATCATATTATCTTAACTTTCTAGCAATGTATTGTGAGAAGTTATGTACAGTACTAGTCAAAAGTTTGGACACCTTCTAATTCAAGGGTTTTTCTTTATCTTTACTATTTTCTACATTGTAGAATAATAGTGAAGACATCAAAACTATGTAATAACACATATGGAATCATGTAGTAACCCAAAAAGTGTTAAACAAATTGAGATTCTTCAAAGTAGCCACCCTTTGCCTTGATGACAGCTTTGCACACTCTTGGCATTCTCTCAACCAGCTTCACCTAGAATGCTTTTCCAATAGTCTTGAAGGAGTTCCCACATATACTGAGCACTTGTTGGCTGCTTTTCCTTCACTCTGCAGTCCAACTCATCCCAAACCATCTCAACTGGGTTGAGGTCGGGTAATTGTGGAGGCCAGGTCATCTAATGCAGCACTCCATCATCCTTCTTGGCCAAATAGCCCTTACACAGCCTGGAGGTGTGTTTTGGGTCATTGTCCTGTTGAAAAACAAATGATAGTCCCACTAAGCGCAAACCAGATGGGATGGTGTATCGCTGCAGAATGCTGTGGTAGCCATGCTGGTTAAGTGTGCCTTAAATCCTAAATAAATCACTGACAGCGTCACCAGCAAAGCACCCCCACAACATCACAACTCCTCCTCAATACTTCATGGAGGGAACCACACATGCAGAGATCATCCGTTCACCTACTCTGCGTCTCACAAAGACACGGCGGTTGGAACCAAAAATCTCAAATTTGGACTTCCACCGGTCTAATGTCCATTGCTCGTGTTTCTTGGCCCAAGCAAGTCTCTTATTATTATTGGTGTCCTTTAATAGTGGTTTCTTTGCAGCAATTTGATCATGAAGGTCTGATTCACGCAGTCTACTCTGAACAGTTGATGTTGAGATGTGTCTGTTACTTGAACTCTGTGAAGCATTTATTTGGGCTGCAATCTGAGTTGCAGTTAACTCTAATGAACTTATCCTCTGCAGCAGAGGTAACTCTGGGTCTTCCTTTCCTGTGGCGGTCCTCATGAGAGCCAGTTTCAAAGTTCTTGAAATGTTCAGTATTGACTGACCTTAATGTTTTAAAGTAATGATGGACTGTCATTTGTCTTTGCTTATTTGAGCTTTTCTTGCCATAATATGGACTTGGTCTTTTACTAAATAGGGCTATCTTCTGTATACCAACCCTACCTTGTCACAACACAACTGATTGGCTCAAACGCATTAAGAAGGAAATCAATTCCACAAATTAACTTTTAACAAGAAACACCTGTTAATTGAAATGCATTCCAGGTGACTACTTCATGAAGCTGGTTGAGAGAATTTCAAGAGTGTGCAGTGTCATCAAGGCAAAGGGTGGCTACTTTGAAGAATCTCAAAAATGTGTTTAACACTTTTTCGGTTACTACATGATTCCATATGTGTTATTTCATGGTTTTGATGTCTTCACTATTATTCTACAATGTAGAAAATAGTAAAAATAAAGAAAAGCCCTGGAATGAGTAGGTGTGTCCAAACTTTTGACTGGTACTGTATATCCACAGGCAGGGTTTGGCCTTCACATTGGGTCTTGGGGGTGACGAAAAGATAGTGGGGTGGGCCAAGGTTAACATTTTCAATGCTTATGGGCATATATGGGTCCCTCAAATCCAAACCCAGTCTATGAGTGATAACATATTAATATGTATGTAAATTGAGTTCTGAAGTAGCCAAGTTTCCTTTTTTTTGTCCTGCTTTTGGAAGATAAGAAGTGAATGGCCAGTGGTAAAAAAAATACAAACTCATGAAAAACATTCTGCAGGAAGGATCTCTGACAATATTCCTCACTCTGTTTATGTCTCCTCTGATCATCTAATGTTGCCTGCAGCAACACTTTGTTTATATTCATTATAACTATGTTTCTGTTCTTTCTTTTTGAGGAGTCAAAAATTCACAAATTAGTAAAGACATGCTCCGGAACATTGCAGACTATTAAGTATTTTTTTAACCTCCCGCTGTTGATGTGTCAATGTGTAGTTCATACATGCATATTCTATGAGCAGAATGTCTTACCTCAATTAGCAACAAAATCCCTAGTTTAAAATCAACCATTTTTCTGGAACCTGTGCTGTGCCATTTTCCCTACATTTCCCCCCACATGGGCCAGCCCCCTAGCAATTCAGTCAATAAGCTTCAGCCCCTCGCCATTTGTGTGACAGTTAGCAAGATGCACACACAGCAGAGCGAGACAGACAGCAATGACATGGTGCACTATTTTCAGATGTCTCCAGAGATGTTTGACCAGGTTCAAGTCCGGGCTCTGGCTGGGCCACTCAAGGATATTCAGAGACCTGTCCCGAAGCCACTCTTGCGTTGTCTTGGATGTGTACTTAGGGTCGTTGTCCTGTTGGAAGGTGAACCTTTGCCCCAGTCTGAGGTCCTGAGTGCTCTGGAGCAGGTTTCATCTAGGATCTCTCTGTACTTTGCTCCGTTCATGTTTCCCTCGATCCTGACTAGTCTCCCAGTCCCTGCCGCTGAAAAACATCCCCACAGCATGATGCTGCCACCACCATGCTTCACCGCAGCGGCTTCCGTCTGGCCACTCTACCATAAAGGCCTGATTGGTGGAGTGCTGCAGAGATGGTTGTCCTTCTGGAAGGTTCTCAAATCTCCACAGAGGAACTCTGGAGCTCTGTCAGAGTGACCATCGGGTTCTTGGTCACCTCCCTGACCAAGGTCCTTCTCCCCCGATTGCTCAGTTTGGCCAGGTGGCCAGCTCTAGGAAGAGTCTTGGTGGTTCCAAACTTCTTTCATTTAAGAATGATGGAGGCCACTGTGTTCTTGGGGACCTTCAATGCTGCAGACATTTTTGGTACCCTTCCCCAGATCTGTGCCTCGGCACAATCAGGTCTCGGAGCTCTACAGACAATTATTTCGACCTCATGGCTTGGTTTTTGCTCTGACATGCAATGTCAACTGTAGGACCTTATATAGATAGGTGTGTGCCTTTCCAAATCAATTGAATGTACCACAGGTGGACTCAAATCATGTTGTAAAATAAAAAAATAATGTTGTAGAAACATCTCAAGGATGATCAATGGAAACAGGATGCACCTGAGGTCAATTTCGAGTCTAGAGTTTGGCCAGGTGGCCAGCTCTAGGAAGAGTCTTGGTGGTTCCAAACTTCTTTCATTTAAGAATGATGGAGGCCACTGTGTTCTTGGGGACCTTCAATGCTGCAGACATTTTTGGTACCTTTCCCCAGATCTGTGCCTCGGCACAATCAGGTCTCGGAGCTCTACAGACAATTATTTCGACCTCATGGCTTGGTTTTTGCTCTGACATGCAATGTCAACTGTAGGACCTTATATAGATAGGTGTGTGCCTTTCCAAATCAATTGAATGTACCACAGGTGGACTCAAATCATGTTGTAAAATAAAAAAATAATGTTGTAGAAACATCTCAAGGATGATCAATGGAAACAGGATGCACCTGAGGTCAATTTCGAGTCTCATAGCAAAGGGTCTGAATACTTCTGTAAATAAGGTTTTTCAGTTTTATTTTATAAATTTGCAAAAAGTTCTAAAAATCTGTTTTCGCTTTGTCATTATGGGGTATTGTGTGTAGATTGATGAGGACCATTTTTTATTTAATCCATTTTAGAATAACGCTGTAACGTAACAAAATGTGGAAAAAGTGAAGGGGTCTGAATACTTTCCAAATGCACTGCACATATGTGACGTAGTACGCAATTTTCGTGGACCAGTTTTGGTTCGCCAGCTCAGACAGAGTTGCGTTCGCCAGCTCAGACAGAGTTGCATTCGCCCCCCCATCCAGAGTTGTATTCCCCACCCTTTACAGAGTTGCGTTCACCAGGTCAGTGAAACCGAGTTGCGTTACCTACCTGTGATGAGGTTGTCCACCAGCGTTGTGGGGATGCAGAAAATGCCCACCAGCAGGTCGCTGACCGCCAGGTTGAGGATGAAAAGGTTGGTGACGGTTCTCATGCGGCGGTTCCCCAGCACGATCAGACACACAAGCACATTACCCACCATGCACAGCAGGAAGATGAAAAGGTAGGCCAGGATGAAGCTAGCAGCCACAGGGAGGGAGTGCTGGTAGTAAGGGAAATAGGTGATGTTGTTGGTGGTAGTGTAGTTGGTGTGGTTAGCAGCATCGTAGCAGAGGAGGAGGTGGCTGGAGGAGTTCAGGGCTATCATGGTGCCTGTCGAGCCCTCCAGTTCAGTCAGACTCTCATCTTCTCCGCTTCTCCACACCTCCATCACTCCTCCCTTCTTCAGGGTGGACCACGCAACCACTCACACACTGCTCTGCACCTTGGGACACAAACAAACAGAAGCATATAATTTCCTTGTGAAATTCTAGCAGATTCATTGTGTATCCATACAGTGAATCTCCAGTACTTCTAATCATTCAGTAAATTTTATTTTTAATAGCCTTCATAGTTTTTCATAGCCTACTTACTGTGGCCAATACACTTTATACTTGGTAGTGAACAAGTTTGGATATTGGGACAAAGACACTGTAATCGACCTTTGATCTGGGCTTGAGGACATTGCTTTCAGAATAAATAACAAGGATCTCATATCATCAATTTGTCATACGCTTACCTCAGACACACACTGATATGAAGCACAATGACATGAAGCACAATTCGTAGTAATAGATAAAGTTCGCTCACAAGCAGCTCCCCTTGATGAGAGCTAAAATGACATGACATCGGTGCCAGTTAGCCCTGTCGTTGACATCGGTGCCAGTTAGCCCTGTCGTTGACTTTTTTTTTTTCATCACTGCAACTTAGATCACCTCTTGAATCAAACACTAATCAGGTTCTACACAGTTTTATATTTGAACCAGTTACTGTAATACAATTATGGGCACATGATACCCAAATCCTCATCTACAAACGTCTATTGTAAAAAAAAAAAAACATGTTAACCAATTGCTTATTCTGAGTTGAGTGGACTTTAAATGGACAACAATTTGAGCCAATGTGTTAGTTTGTTCACTCAACAAACTCTGCTCGAAGTGAGCTGAATTTGAAAAAGCTTGTTGAGTAAAATTACAAATTGATGTTTGCCTTTGGAAGGTAGTAGAAAAGTAAATTCATCTTTAGTTGTAAGTTAAATCTCAAGATGTTCTCCAATTAAAGGACACATTCAATCTGACTAAAGTATTTAATTATATACATAAAATGTTCTGATATGCCATTTATTCTGCTTCTATAATTCTATTCCAAAAATGTAATGTCTGTCAACTTGACTTTCTGTTTCTTCATACAATATCGGTACACTTAGACATGTAGGATCTTTATTTGAAGGGAAAATCAAGTCTGAAATCTCAGTGGATATTACAAACTTCAGAAGCGTTTTTAAACCTCAAAGATTTAAATCTCCTGCATTGCAGGAAAGTTCTCCTGCAATCGGGTGATCAAATTAAGATCCTACACCTGTAGATGTTTTCATGCCATCTACTGAAAATGTTTTTATTTTACTTGGTACTCATTTTAGAATGGACTTGATGCTCTAGAAAGTTCACTTTTTAAAACGTTTTCCAAGACCACAATCACTTCCCACTGGGCACAGACTTCAATTCAACGTCTATTCCACGTTGGTTCAACGTAATAACATTGATTCAACCAGTGTGTGCCCAGTGGGTTCCCCTTAGAGACTCACTGACACTAATAATTTAGCTTACATTGCATCTTTGACAGTAACGTACAAGGATCATTGTATGCTCTCAAATAATCGTACAATGACAGACATTTACAATAAGTGGCCTTAATCAGAAAATTGTTCTTGTTCATTTCCTTTCTTTCACAGATATCTTTTTGAAACAGCATACTGTAGGCCAGGAAGACATTGTGTGTTATAAATGAACAAGGCCCTAACAATTATAAGAGCCTGCGAACAAAGAGAGACATTTACAATAAGTGACCTTCTCCTGAACCTTTTTCTTAATAATTGCCTTTCTTTCACAGATACAGTACATTACTTTTCTGAAACAGCATACTATAGGTAGGCCACAGAATACATACTATAGGTAGGCCACAGAAGACAGAGGACATACGTGTTTTATAATAATTATATTTTAAATCTATGAACAAGGCCATAGCTATCATGTGTGCAAGAAAATAAATCACAGTGCCTTGCAAAAATATTCAGAACCCTTTGACTTCTTCACATTTTATTGTGTTACAAAGTGGGATTAAAATGGATTTAATTGTCCTTTTTTGTCAACAAGCTACACAAAATACTCTGTAATGTCAAAGGGGAAGAAAAAAAAAGTAATTTAAGATAATACAAAAATACAGTGGGGAAAAAATGTATTTAGTCAGCCACCAATTGTGCAAGTTCTCCCACTTAAAAAGATGAGAGATGCCTGTAATTTTCATCATAGGTACACGTCAACTATGACAGACAAATTGAGGAAAAAAAATCCAGAAAATCACATTGTAGGATTTTTAATGAATTTATTTGCAAATTATGGTGGAAAATAAGTATTTGGTCACCTACAAACAAGCAAGATTTCTGGCTCTCACAGACCTGTAACTTCTTCTTTAAGAGGCTCCTCTGTCCTCCACTCGTTACCTGTATTAATGGCACCTGTTTGAACTTGTTATCAGTATAAAAGACACCTGTCCACAACCTCAAACAGTCACACTCCAAACTCCACTATGGCCAAGACCAAAGAGCTGTCAAAGGACACCAGAAACAAAATTGTAGACCTGCACCAGGCTGGGAAGACTGAATCTGCAATAGGTAAGCAGCTTGGTTTGAAGAAATCAACTGTGGGAGCAATTATTAGGAAATGGAAGACATACAAGACCACTGATAATCTCCCTCGATCTGAACCTCCACGCAAGATCTCACCCCTAGTGAATGGACCTAGTGAATGACCTGCAGAGAGCTGGGACCAAAGTAACAAAGCCTACCATCAGTAACACACTACGCCGCCAGGGTCTCAAATCCTGCAGTGCAAGATGTGTCCCCCTGCTTAAGCCAGTACATGTCCAGGCCCGTCTGAAGTTTGCTAGAGTGCATTTGGATGATCCAGAAGAGGATTGGGATAATGCCATATGGTCAGATGAAACCAAAATAGAACTTTTTGGTAAAAACTAAACTCGTCGTGTTTGGAGGACAAAGAATGCTGAGTTGCATCCAAAGAACACCATACCTACTGTGAAGCATGGGGGTGGAAACATCATGCTTTGGGGCTGTTTTTCTGCAAAGGGACCAGGACGACTGATCAGTGTAAAGGAAAGAATGAATGGGGCCATGTATCGTGAGATTTTGAGTGAAAGCCTCCTTCCATCAGCAAGGGCATTGAAGATGAAACGTGGCTGGGTCTTTCAGCATGACAATGATCCCAAACACACCGCCCGGGCAACGAAGGAGTGGCTTCGTAAGAAGCATTTCAAGGTCCTGGAGTGGCCTAGCCAGTCTCCAGATCTCAACCCCATAGAAAATCTTTGGAGGGAGTTGAAAGTCCGTGTTGCCCAGCGACAGCCCCAAAACATCACTGCTCTAGAGGAGATCTGCATGGAGGAATGGGCCAAAATACCAGCAACAGTGTGTGAAAACCTTGTGAAGACTTACAGAAAACGTTTGACCTGTGTCATTGCCAACAAAGGGTATATAACAAAGTATTGAGAAACTTTTGTTATTGACCAAATACTTATTTTCCACCATAATTGCAAATAAATTCATAAAAAATCCTAGCTAATTTTCCCCAAACATCAGACACCCCCTGACCTCGGACACTCTCTAGCGGTTGGAGGACTGAATCACCTCGAGCTCAACATTTATATGGACTGAAAAATAACGGTACGTTTTGTGACTAACGACACCCTTTTAGCTAGCTGACCACCAATTTTCAGTGCAATTTATGTAAGGTAAGTTAGGTTTTGAGAGTTTTCAAAAAAGTTATATGTACAAATTTTGTGGAACACGCTGCATATTGTAAAATTCGACTGCGCGACAGACCACACCTAATTTAATATCCAACTTTTTACCTCTGAAATATAGCTAACGGATTTTCTAATGTTGCTATCTTAGTTGCTAAATGTTGATAGAACTGCTAAGTAAGCAAAAAGGAAATAAATTGTAAGTGTTAGATAAGACATATCACGAAAACAGCTGCATGTTGTCAAGCTTTACCGTATCAAAATTGGAGTCCTCTGACGGAGGCGTTTTGCACAATCTGCAAAAATGTATTTGGAACTTTGAACCATGAACTTTTTGACACCTATCACTGTTGGCTATGTTTCATCTTACAACAGCTACATAGAGGCAGTATTTAGTTAAATGGTACAATGTATGCATCAATATTACACTAATTGGGACACACATTTTCATTACAGATAACATCAAACAAAAAACGTGGGTACACTTTCAGTTGTTGTGAAAACTTTCATCACCTTTCAATGCCTTAGCTTTGAAATGTAAATGTTTATACATATTCAGATTGAGTTATCTTTCTAAAATATGTATAGTATGCCAAGTTATTTAGCTACATGTATTTACCACTGCAGCATGGAGAAAGTCAAGAGGAAGCAGTGGAGTGAGGTGGACATGTTCCATGCCATGGAGGACTGCGGGGCAGGGATGGCTATCCGCCAGGCTGCCAAGGTTAGGCATCTTTTGTTTTTAGGAGATTACCATGTGTATGTGAATTTTATCTGCTAGTAACAGTTTTCTTTTCTTATCTACCAAGGTGCATGGTGTACCTCGGCAGACCCTGGCGGACAGGCTGAGCGGCCGGGTGACCCATGGTTGTTGCAGTGGACCACCCACATTGCTTGCACCAGAGGATGAAAAGTCTCTGGTGCAGTCCTGTATCTACTGCGCCAGCCATGGGTTCCCCTTCACCAGACAGAGGCTGATGAAATACGCCGACAAAATACGCAGGTATTTGGTGTTCTATGTGTTTATGTATGTAGATTGGTGGACTGACTGTTCTCAATGTGTGTGATGTAAATGTGGATGTGTATGGTGATGCCAAAACAAACATTTTCATCCTGGATGGACAATTATATATTCTATTCTATTGTAGGTTTCGGCACCCAGGGGAAACAATCCCACCACTGGGGAAGAGGTGGTGGAAAATGTTCAGGAGGAGGCACAATAACCTAAGCATGAGGAGGCCGGACACCCTGGATAGGGGGAGAGCTGAGTGTGCCACACGTCCGACGATGGACACCTTCTTCACTTCTTATGAGAAGCACTTGGAGGAGAGTGGGTTGAGGGAGAAACCCAGACAA